TCAATGTCTGCCATGATTGCAGTCATATGAGGTGAACTCAAGGGGTATTGAAATCTTTACCAAAAGCTGGCTTCCTGAAACTTCTAAGCCCAAAGCAGCAGTGTTCTACTGTCATGGCTATGCAGACACTTGCACTTTCTTCTTTGAAGGCATGTGGTTGGTATTAAGAACTCAGTTCCGAGTAATTTGATACAGCTACATTGTTGATTACACCAACTTAGCTATATTATGGATATATCTTCAGGAATAGCCAGAAAGCTGGTATCAGCTGGATATGGAGCTTTTGCTATGGATTATCCTGGATTTGGTCTTTCAGAAGGTCTCCATTGCTACATTCCAAGTTTTGATACTCTTGTTGATGATGTGATTGAACATTATTCCAAAGTCAAAGGTAATTAAAACCACACTAAAACCTGTCTCAATGTTTATCAGTTTGCATATTTTGTATGAAAAGAAGTTTTTGAGTTGCACAAATTTCATTAAGAGGGGATAGCCAAACCTATGGCAGTGGAGGCATCCCTAGAGCTACATCTGATTTCAAATTCCAATAAGAGCTATACAAACCCAAAAAAAGGATTAAAAAAAAGAGTATCCCTTATTGTTCTCAGCGTGGGTAAAATGCTTGTGTCTTGGTTCTCTGCACATTAGACAAGGAGTTCAGGGATCTTGTGCTAATGAATATCATATTTGGCTTGTGTAACGCTTTCATAGTTTTCCCTTCTGAAAGTGATCTATGTGAAGTTAATACTGAGAAGTGAATGTTGTTATTACTGGAAATATAATATAAGAACTTGAGAACAGGCTAGGAAATGTTTTGAATGTTGAACACCCTTTGTTAGGAAAATACTAACCTGTGTCATTATGTATTCAAAGAAAGGTCCAACTCTAATCTGTTCCTGTTTTCTAACATACGATTCTTAGGCTAGAAATTATAACTGTTGTTCATCAAGGAAGGCATACTTTGCTTGTAAACTACACAATTTCATTCATTACATTGCAAGCAACAAATTAGAACTATGAATTTACCGTGGGAGGCATGTTTTTCAAGTAAACAACAAAATTTCATTCATTATATTGCAAACAACTTAATGTTGGGGGAGATACGACACTGTTGATTTTTAATATTCATGCAAACAATTTTACTGGTTCCCTGACAGAAAACCCAGAGATCCAATCTCTTCCCTGCTTCCTTTTTGGACAGTCTATGGGTGGAGCTGTGGTCTTAAAGATGCACCTAAAACAGCCCAAGGCATGGGATGGTGCCATTCTTGTTGCGCCTATGTGTAAAGTAAATATCCTACATATCCTAAACCTGAACCAGCTCAAGGGTATGTTTGAATTGTAGAGAATAAAAGAGAAGGGAAGCGAACTTATAATTTGTACATCTTATTTGATTTAGGTTTAACTCTGAACAGTTTTATCTTCGCCTCTCTTCTATTATCCTCTATTCAAACATACTCTAGCAGTCTTATCCTCAATTTAAAAGAGTTGTGGCATGTGTTTCTTTGATCTCCTTTTGACTGTTAGCTCTATGCAGATTGCAGACGACATGACCCCACCATGGTTGCTCACTCAGATCTTGATTGGTGTAGCCAATGTGCTTCCAAAGCAGAAGTTAGTTCCACAGAAAGATTTAGCTGAGGCTGCCTTCAGAGAATTAAAGAAGAGGGAACTGGTTTGTATTTTTTAACCTCAGTCGCCATTCTGTCTTCCAATTTGTCCATTGCATTGACTTGGAGGTATCAAGGTTTTTTCCTCGTCCAGTCCTGTGCTTGACATCTTTGTATTGTCTCTTTGCAGACAGCCTATAATGTTATTGCTTACAAGGACAATCCTCGCTTAATGACTGCTTTAGAAATGCTTAGAACTACCCAAGAAATAGAACGGCGACTGAAAGAAAGTATGCTGATTTCTGACCTTGACTTTCTTTTCTTTTAAAAAATGAATAATAAACTACACCTTAATGAACAATGAACCATCTGCGGCCTCAACTGTTTGCCAGATCCAAATTCCATAACGGTAACAATATAGTAATTAACTAAATCAATAAACTTGTCAGTTTTGAAATATTGTTTTTCTTGGGGCTGATCCTACAACAATAGAGCAATAAAAATTGATGGCCTAACATTTATTGGTTTATGATCTGCAGGTTTCATTACCACTGTTAGTCCTTCATGGGGAGGCTGATACTGTAACAGATCCTTCTGTAAGCAAACTGTTGCACAAGAAAGCAAGCAGTTCTCAGAAGAAGCTTAAGCTTTACAAGCATGCTTACCATTCCCTTCTTGAGGGTGAGCCTGATGAAGTAATACTTGAGGTTTTCAATGATATCATCGCTTGGCTTGATGATCACAGCTCAAAACACAATTCATCTTCATCTTGATGAATGAAGACTTTTGATCTGTGTTATCTCGTGGTTGAAGATTATTCAGATTGTTTTTATGGGAAGTCAAATTGAAAGCTGTATTGTTGTTTGAATAAAAAGAGGGATAGCATCCAATTTGGAACTTACATTTGTTTATGACAATTTAAGCCATTTATTAGATCATGTCTATATATTAGCTCATGTTTGTACCATTTAAGAATAAAAAAAAAGGAATTGTAGGCTAGAAAATTTATTTCCTGTGTTTGACATGATTATGATTTGTTTGTATCAAATTGTTTTGTTAAATATATTGTTGATATCATTGATTTTGATTCTTCTAGTTTGATAGAAGCTGCTTATACTTGATCATCATAGTTTGGGATCCATTAAATCAACTGGTTCCTATGTGGGTTAAGTCTTGGATAAATGATATGATAAATGGACAAAATAGTATTCTTGTGGATTGAGACTAAATTGATTTTACAAAATTAGGGAATGAAACATGGTTTTTTAGCATGATTTTTACGCAAATTAAGGGGCCCTAATTCCTAAGCCATGAGGAAAAAAACTATGAAAAAGAAAACAAAACCTGTTCATTTATCTCAGTATTTTTTGAAAGTATTTTTTGGCTTTTAAAATGAACAAGATAGGACACATTAAATGGTAATGGTGAGTTGGGGTGTGGGTAGGGTCAGACAATCTTCACACTCGCGTAATATAACTTTCAAAAAAAAAAAAAAAAATACACAACATAAAATATTAACATTGACGTTTTCATAATTATATTTCAATGGTGAGAATATTTATTATATATATTATTTGGACAAAATTTAGGTGAAGTTTATATGTGAATTTACAAGGATACATACATATGTATTTTAACAACTAACAATAACAAAATAATAAGTGTTTATTTGAAAATTATACAGGTTGATACAAAAATTTAGAAGTGGACATACGAATTTTAATAATTATTAACTGAAGTTTTGTCAAACCTCCCTCCTTTTATCACCCACACACTTTTTTTATTTATTTATTTTTTATTTTTGAAATCAGAAGGATAGACACTGAGAGTTTGAAATGATAAATGAGATCGAAATTCTTAGCTGCGGTTATTTTCATCAAAATTCTTTTTGAGTCACAAAGAACCTTCTTTTTCCATTTCAATCAAGCAAAATCATAAGTCAGGCATTCTCTTCTTCTTCGTGTAACTAAAAATTTGCATATCAATAATCAAATTTTATAATTAAAACCTATTTTTTCCGAGTCTCAAAGGAGGAATATTTTTTCTATTTAATCCGTTATATTAACTTTATTAATAAAGATTGATTGAAGAAGGTTATGTCTGATGAAATTAATTTGGATAAACATATTAATAAGATATCTATATTGGGAAGGAAACTATAAAGTAATGATACATAAAAGTGATTTTTTTTTTAACATTATGCAAAAGGTGAAAAAAAGACGAAACTAATCAAACATGCGCATAGTTTACAATCATAAAAGTGATAATTCTTTGTAGTCCAAAATGTAATAATTCTTTAGTTAGATGGCCAACAAAAAATTCTTTAGTTTATTTTGGCCAACAAAAAGTCTTTAGTTTATTTTTTCAGAAACTTGTGGTTGAAACTGAAAATCAATTGATTATTGGTCATAGTAGGAAAAATATTAATTAAAGAGAGAATTATAATGAGATTCTAAGGAAGGAAAATAGTTACCAAAAAGCCTTAATAACAACTTAAATAGCATGTAATGACAAGTTTCAAAATATGAAATGAAACCTTTTGAGACTTGTTTTATAATTATTTTTTTTATTTGGATCTTATCGTAATTATCCTTAATTAAATCTAGTTAGGCAAGAGGATCAATTAGGAATTTTCAAATCCTAAAAATTTACATCAGTGCCCTTAAATGTTTATTAGCCTCTTTCCTTTGTCCTCAATCAATAATCTTTCTCCCTTTCTTTCTAATAATCATATACCTCCTGCCATCCAAAAGAATAAAAATAAGATATTAGCTACTTAAATATCATTCACCAATAAGATTTTTATTTCAGCAGTGAGATTCGAACCCATAGCCTTATAAATTATTAGTCGATTCCTTGCTATCTGAACCAATTCTTATCAGTATAAATATGCATTCTTATTATAATGAAAAGTTGCCTTATTCTTGAATGGTGGTGCCCTAAACACAATTTAATGAAGCTGGTATACTAAACACAATGTGTTTCAAATGTTGTCTTTATCTTGAGAGGGAAAAGACTAGTCAATAGTTAAGGACATTGAGGTAAATTCAAAGAATTAAAAAAATTTCTAATCAGTAGACTTGGTTAGGAATTTGATGAAAATGTAAGCCTGAATCTGGTTTATAATATTTCAATTAAATTTAACTGGAATTTTCCCATTATGGAAAAGTAAATTTCATCACATAATTTCATAATCTTCCTATTTTTATATTGTAAAAAATAAAACCGTATTTCTTCCCCCCCCCCCCCAAAAAAAAAAACCAGTACTCTACCAATAAAAAAAGAAAACGACCCGAGGGCCTTAAACACGCGCAATAAACAAGTTTCATTTTATTATATCGCCTCCCCAGATTAGATTAGATACACAGCGTCGGAGCTCAGCTCTTCCAATCTGAAGCTGAAGATTTTATCTTCCGCTGTTGCAAGGTACTCCTTCACCAAATTTTCTTTCTTTTCTGCTTCGACTTTCCTTTTTTCTTTCCCTTCTTCCCTCAATCTCGAATGTTATTTTCATCACCATTCCCCAAATCCCAACAGCATCGGCGACGCTATTGCTTCAGTCAATCGCATGCTAAACATGCGTCCTCCACCATCTAGGCGCCATATTAATAGGATTTTAGGGTCTACAGTGAAGATGAAACATTATCTCCATGTCATCTTACTTCTTGCACAAGCCGAGTTTAAAGGCTTCACGCCAGATTTATGTAACCTGAGCATCTTGACCAATTGTTACTGCCAGCTGGGTCTGATGGATTTTGCTTTCTCTATATTGGGAAAAATTTTCAAGATGGGTTATCACCCAGATGCTATAATTTTGACTACACTAGTAAAGGGACTGTGTTTTAATCATAATGTTGGCGAAGCTCTTGATTTCTATGATGACATAATGGCCAAAGGATTTAAGTTAGATGAAGTCACCTATGGAACATTAACATATGGGCTATGTAAAATGGGAAAAACAAGATCCGCCATTAAATTGCTTAAATTAATGGAGCGGCACATTGTTAAGCCCAATGTAGTTATTTACAGCACAATCATTGATACGCTTTGCAAAGAAGGGCTTGTCAATGATGCACGCAATTTGTATTTTGAAATGATTGATCGTGGGGTATCTCCAAATGTTTATACTTACAGCAGTCTTATCCATGGCTTCTGTAGGATGGATCAATGGCAACAAGCAAATCAAATACTTAGTGAGATGATATCTAAAGACATCCACCCAGATAATTATACGTTCAACATTCTAGTTGATGCATTATGTAAAGATGGAAGGATTATTGAAGCTCAAGCTGTATTTGCTATGATGGTGAAGAGTGATCAAAGACATGATCTTGTTACCTACACTTCTTTAATGCATGGACATTGTTTGACTAATAATATCATTGAGGCTAAGGAAGTTCTGAATAAGATGATTAAAAATGGTTTGGCTCCTGACCTTTTTAGTTATAATATTTTGATCAATGCATGCTTTAAGATGAAAATGGTGGATGAAGCGATGGATCTTTTTGAGACATTGCATTTCAGAAATTTGGTTCCTAGTGTTGTAACTTATAATTCCGTTATTGATGGGTTGATCAAATCACAAAGAATCTCATGTGTGCAAGATGTTACTTATGAGATGCGTGTGAGGGGTCTTCACCCTGATATCATCACTTACAGTATCTTGTTAGATGCATTTGGCAAAATGGGACATCTTGACACGGCAATTACACTATTTAGGCAAATTGTTGATCAAGGATTCCGGCCTAGTGTGAAGACCTACACTATACTTATTGATGGCTTGTGCAAAGGTGGTAGATTAAATGATGCGTGGGAGATTTGGTTCAGTATCTTTTGGCCAAAGGTTATCATCTAGATGTGCACGTGTATACTGCTATGATTCATGGATTTTGTAAACTGGGTTTTCTTGATGAAGCCAGGGCCTTGCTTGATAGAATGGAAGAGAAGAATTGCCTCCCTGATTTCGTTCCTCTCAAAATTATTATTCGATATCTTCTTGAAAATAATGAGAATGACAAGGCAGTGAAACTTCTACACAGAATGATTGATAGAGGCGTGCTGAAGAAATAAAACAAAGTGAGATACACTGGCTCTTGTTCCACAAATATTTATGTTTAGCCAGCATGAGTGGTTAGCAAAAGCTTGTATTGTGAATTTACACAGTTAATTAACTGGTTTGGGGAGAATATAGTTTGATGTCATTGTCATTGTAGTGGATAGTTTTTACAAGCATGTTTCAGTATGAAAGTTACATAAGCCAAAATTGAAATTATTCTCTAATGCTTGCTTTATGATCTTTAAAAAGCTTGTTTCGTGATTGAAGGTCAATTTCTGGGAAAATTATATCATATGCTTGAATTTTAATCTTATAGGTACTTAGGCTGAAATTTATTATAATGAAAAAACTTAGGTTAACTTTCTTATATCCATTATGTGAAGTTCTCTAATCACACATGACCATACATCCTTTTTTGTTCAATGTGAATTTATAATTAAATGCTATTAAATGCTAATATTTCAAAAATAAGATGCATGATCATGTGTGACTGGAGAACTTGACATAATAAATATAAGGAACCTGATATATGTATTGTCCTGTTTATAAATTTAGCTGAGATGTTGAATGTTGCAAGACGAGCATGTTTCATCAGTTTAAGGTTGAAATTCCCTGTAATAAAAAAAATTAAATAAAAAAACAGAACAAGGAATAACATAGATAAGTTAAGGAAATGAAAAAGAGCCGCACTCGGTGGACTGATGAGGAATTTTGAGATGTACTGTCACTATGTGGTCAAGTGTCATGTGTTTGCATTAGGATGATGGTGCGCCCAAAATCACCTGATGATAATTGCAAAGCATGATTTTATCAGGTATTACTGAAAGTAGTTGTTTCTGGCATGGAAGTTTAGCTGAGATGTTGTGAATTCCTGATAAGTAATTTGATAATTATATTTGGCAACTTATTTATGAATAGTTCTTGCAAATTTCAAATGCATGTAGTTTTGTTGTGAGACAAATACAAGTGTTGGGGTGGCTTGCAACAAATGTTTGACTTGGTGAAATTTGTGTTATAGTGGTAAATTATTTTTTTGATCCATGGTGATGCACTTTTCGGTTAGATGGGAGCAAAAGAATGTCCGGATGGCAATACCTCTGGTTTTTCCATTCCCTTTCTATTTTCTTTGAAAATCCGGGTGGAAACATGTCCTTCTTTGAATAAGCAAGATATCCTGTGAAAGTATATGAAAGTTAAATGTCTAAATATACATTTTGTCTTGTCTGGAGAAAAGATCATAGGTTGGAGTGTTTGTTGACGAAGATCTTCCCCATGGTTTTCTTCTTTGTCAGGAATAGCTCTAGTTTCTTCCCTATCAACGATACTGATCCTTAAAATTTTATGAGAAGATGAACAAGTAATTTTTAACCATTCTTAATCAGTGCATTTGAGATTTACAAAAGAAATATGAAATTTACATAGTAGGATACTTAGCAATTCTAGTTTTCTCTTAGGTCCGTTTGGTATGAAGGATTTGGAGAGTATGAAGGCTTTTTTTTTTTTTGGGGGGGGAGGGATTTTAATCATTTTTCCTTGTTTGGCAGGATAAAAATTTTAGGAGGAAAATTTTTTAACATCCCCCCTCATAAGCCTCACTGGGGGAATTTGGAGTAATATTTTGGCTTGTGTTGACTAATATGCCCATATTATTTTTTAATAATCCCATATTGATGAATTATATATGATTTGGTATATTTATGGATTCAATCATGCCTCTCTTCCCTCATTTATATGTTATCAAATATTAAAAAAAAGTTGCTATCAAATATATTTTAATTTCCAAACGCAAATCAAACACTCAAAACAAAAATATACATATAAGTCATCTATATCGTCTTTAAAAAAGTTATTTGATTACTCATATCAACAACATAAAGAAAAATGAAAGTTGGAAAAAACATACTCAAATAAACATATATACTTCATTAGACCAGATTTTGGATATAAATACAATTATTGTTATGGGATATATAGTAGCTATTAATTATGCATTATCATTATATTTATTTAGTTTTTCTAATTATACAAAGTTGATCTCATATATTAAATATTATTTACAATTATATTTTATTAATTACCCTATAAAGTTTGTAAAAATCAACTTAAATGATATACGAACAAAGTTGTCTATACAAAAATATTTTGCCTCCCCTCCCTTCCTAAACCAAACAAAGTAACATTAAAATTTCTTCCCTCCTCTTCCCTCATATTAATCTAAACAATGTGATATTAAAAGTCCTCCCCTTCCTTTTATCTCCTTTCCTTGCGTTAAAATTCTTCCCCTCCCATCCCCTCTATCAAGTCAAACACCCTTAGTTGACCTCTCTCTGGTGGCTAAAACATAGTAGTAGTATAGACTCATGAAGATGTCTTTTTCTATGTTACTATCTAGTTTTGTACAGTCTTCTATGGTCATAAGCATTCAGCCTGGGGATGTTTGAATTGTAGAGAATAAAAGAGAAGGGAAGCAAACTTTTAATTTGTACATCTTATTTGATTTATATTTAACTCTGAACTGTTTTGTCTTCCCCTCTCTTCTATTATCCTCAATTCAAACATACTCTAGAAGTCTTATCCTCAATTTAAAAGAGTTGTGACATGTGTTTCTTTGATCTCCTTTTGACTGTTAAGCTCTATGTAGATTGCAGACGACATGGCTACACCATGGTTGCTCACTCAGACCTTGATTGGTGTAGCCAATGTGCTTCCAAAGCAGAAGTTAGTTCCACAAAAAGACTTAGCCGAGGCTGCCTTCATAGAATTAAGGAGGGAACTGGTTTGTGTTTTTTAACCTCAGTCGCCATTCTGTCTTCAATTTGTGCATTGCATTATGACTTGGAGGTGTCATGGCTTTTTCCTCTTCCAGTCCTTTTCTTTCAGCTTAAAGTCTTGTTTTTTCTGGCAATCTGTGCTTGACATCTCTCTATTGTCTCTTTGCAGACAGCCTACAACGTTATCGCCTGCAAGGATAATCCTCACCTAATGACTGCTTTAGAAATGCTGAGAACTACAAGAAATAGAATGGCGACTGAAAGAAGTGTGCCGATTTCTGACCTTGACTATATGTTTACTTTTCTTTAAAAAAAAAAAAGAATAATAAACTGCACTTAATGAACAATGAACCATCTACTACGTCAACTGTTTTAGGAGATATTTCAAATCCAAATTCCATAACGTTAACAATATAGTAATAAACTAAATTAACAAGCTTTTCAGTTTTGAAACGTTGTTTTTTTGTTTAGGTTGATCTTATTTTTCTAGAATCCTCATTTCGAACATAAAATTATATCTCTTTCTCCCAGAGGATTTAGTTCTAGAAGAATAGAGCAGTAAAATTTGATGGCCTCACATGTTCATGATTTGCAGGTTGCACTACCATTGTTAGCCCTTCATGGGGAGGCTGATACTATGACAGATCCTTCTGTAAGCAAACTGTTACACAAAAAAGCAAGCAGTTCTGAGATGAAGCTTAAACTTTACAAGCATGCTTACGATTCTCTTCTTGAGGGTGAGCCTGATGAAGTAATACTTGAGGTTTTCAATGATATCATCGCTTGGCTTGATGATTACAGCTTGAAACACAAGTCGTTATCATCTTGATGAATGAAGACTTTTGATCTGTATCTCGTTGTTGAAGATTATTCATAGTTTTTAGGGAAAGTCAAATTGAAAGCTATTACCTCTTCTTCAATAAAAAAGAGGGAGAGCATCCAATTTGGAAGTTACATTTGTTTATGACAATTTAGGCCATTTATTAGATCATGTCTATATTCTTGTTTGTATAATTTATTTAGGAATAAAAAAGCGGAATTGTATGCAAGAAAATTGATTTCCTGTGTTTCACTTGATTATGATTTGTTTGTATCACATCGTTTTGTTAAATATATTATTGATTTTGATTCTTCTAGTTTGATAAAAGCTGTTTATATTTGATCATTATAGTTTGGGAACCATTAAGTCAATATGATAAATGGACAAAATAATATTCTTTTGAATTGAGACTAAATTGATTTTACAAAATTAGGGGATGAAATATGTTTTTTAAGCATGATTTTTATGCAAATTAAGGGGTGCTAATCCAGAAGAAAAAAATTTGGAGAAAGAAAACAAAACTTGAAAATTTAGTTCAGTGCTTTTTAGCTTTTAAAATGAACAAGACAGGCCGCGTAAAAAAATGGCGAGTTGGGGGTAGGCGCGCATTCACTTTAAAGTGAAAGTAAAAATTTCCAACAAAAAAAAAAGTGAAAAAAAAATTGCACACTACAAAATCTTAACATTGAAGTTTTCTCCATTATATTTACTAATATATGTATTTTTTGGGGAAAAAATTAGATCAACTTGCTTATATATATTAAGTTTATACATAAACATGTATATTAACTACTAACAGTAGCAAAATAATAAGTGTTCATTTGAAGATTTACAAAACTAAATTTGTTGACACAAAAATTTAGAAGTGGACATATGAATTTTAATAACTAATAATAACATGATATTCTTCCGATCCTTAATATAAGACTCATTTAACTAATTTGATTAGATTAAGAAAGTTAGGTAAGTTAGTTAATTATAAGAAATGTGACATGTTTTTCCTAAAACACTATAATCATCTTTCTTAATACCCTCTCTCCCTCTTCTACTTGATTATGGTTGAGAGAATATCCATAGGGATAATTTAGAAAAAATTGATAAATATGAGAAATGCGTCTTATATTTAGGACCAAAACCAACTCAACTATTGAGTCCTATATTAAAGACTGGAGGAGTAATAAATATGATTAGAAAATTTGACTTAATAAATATATGTAACTTGATTGAAGTATTGTCCATATCCCCTCTAATCCTATTCCAATATTCTATCACCCCACGGTCCCATACTCATTTCTTTTTGAGAATGAGAGGAGTAGGTACTAACAACTTAAAATAATAAATAAGATCAAACATGCGCCTTTCTATGTTGAAAAAAGATTTCATACTACTCCTCTGATATTAAATATAAAACCCTTATACTAGTGTGTATAAGAGTCTTATATTTAGGACCGGAGGAGTACTAGGTTTACAATTACCAGCCTGCATTCATTTCCATCAAAATTCTGAGAGTTAGAAAGAACCTTTTTTTTTTTTTCCTATCTCAAATTCTCCATCAAGCAAAACCACAGGTCAAGCATTCTTTTCAACCTCGCGCAACTAAAAATTTACAGATCAATAATCAAATTCTAGAATTAAAACCTGTTTTTCTTCCGAGTTTCACAAAGAAGGAATATTTTTCAAT